TGGCTTTTCTTCATTTTCCTGATACTCATCTGGCTTGTGTCCACTATGAGTCCTGAAGGGCAGACTCAGAGATGAATGTCTGATGAAGACTTCTTTACACACACAGCTTTCACTTGGTTCCACTTCAGCAGGAGTATTATGGTTCATAATATGATCTTGGGTGTGGCTGAAGACTTCTTCATATGGAATGTTGTGGGAATCTCAAGCTGAGATATGGGACACTGAGGCAGTTTAGCAGGAAGCAACATTTTATTGTGCTGACACAAACCCAACAGACTCGTGTCCAAAGGCTGATCCCTGAGAACAAAGAGGCCTCACCTTACATACCCTTGCAAGCAGGTTAAAGAAGCAAAAAGCAAAGCTGAACCCACACGTGGCTGCATGTGATTTCATTGGCTATTTCATTTTCCCAGTGCTATGTGACCTTCATATTTCAATTCTTTAAGTTTTATCTCTCTGCTTTGTCTCTGTTTCATCATCAGAACATAGCCTGTTTCTGTTTTGGCCCTCCTCCCTGCTACATTGTTCCCTGCTTTGATGCTCAGACCCAACTACGGTCAAAGAGCATCATCTTTATTTAGAGGCTTGTATTTTTATAACATCATTACACATGTGATGGTTTTTCTTTCTATAGTGGCCTCCATAATGGTCCTGAAAGACCACAATACCAGGGGAACCAGGCAGGGTAATATTAAGCATGCTCCCAGGATAAGGTCTATTGCCCCTGTCAGGGTTTTGAAACCATCCAAGGCAGAGAACCATCCTCCAAACAGATCATTGGGAGTCCATCTTCCCCAAGTCTGGATGGGGACATAGGCAAGCTTTTTCATTGTATCTGTGATTTCTTTTATGACTTTTTAAAAATCATCAATCTGTAAGCAGCAGTTGCTTAGGTGAAATTTTCCACAAACTCCTCCCTCAGAAGCCAGCAAATAGTCTAAAGCCAAGCAGTTCTGATAGATGGCATTGGACATCTTAGTGCTTTGTTTAGTCAGCAAGTTGAGAGCTCTTGCAGTTTCATTAGTTATAATTTCAACAACATCCTGAAGCCTGATGATATGGTTGAGCATATATATATATATATATATATATATATATATATATATATATATAGGGGTGTGATAGCCCCAAGACCTATCTTCTGCCCTAGTGGCAGGACCATAGCATTGGATGATTTGCTCAGGAAGCCATTCGTCATCTTTCCAATTGCCAATTTGTAAGTCATCCTGTTTTTCTCTATTTAATCTTTTTTCATATATGGGGACTCCTAGTTTTTTACCTTGTTTGAGGGGAAGCAGGAGAAAGGATGGTCTGATTGAGCCTAGCACAGATGACCCAAACCAGCTGCTAGGTAGCACTTATAAGCTTGCTTCCCACAGATCCAATATAGCCCCCTGGGTGCTTGCCAATCTATATTTGCAGTAAGATTGTTCCACGCTTTCTGGAGATTAGAAAAGTTGGCCAGTGGGTGGGGCTGGGGTTCTATGTGGTTTGGGGATCCCCACCATTAATTTTTTTGGGGGCAGTGTCATTGTAGAACTTCTGTACTAAGCAAGTTAAGTCTCCCACAGGGGTGGAGAATTGGCCTTCTGGGCAGGAGATAACAGTAATTTCCGACGATGGAAGTTTTTAAGAGTTAGACATCTTTTCTGTGTTTTGGGAAGGCAGTTTTATTAAAAGGCTCCTGTGGGTCCAGTTCCCTTGCTTCCCAAGGTCAATGGTCTCCCATGTTGTTCCCCCCACAAACATAGCATGAAGTGACATTCAGTGTCTGGGCTATAGACTCAGCCAGTGAGGGGAACAAGTTTTTAGATTTCGTAGAGATGGAAAATTCGCTCGTCATTTTTTCATAAAAGGAGTGAAAAATTTGGTATGAAGAACTCTTATGGGTAACAGTTACTACTTTGAAGTACATCAGAGTCCCAGGGTCAAGGCCCTTTCCATTTATTCTTATACCAATTACATGTCCCTGTGTCCAATCAGATGGCTTAAGTACAGTGAAATTTACAGGATTACAAGTACCAGGAGTGCAGTTTGGGACAGCTGTCCTCTTGTGAAGGAAGTCTGTGTGTTTTCTCCTTTGCCACGTAGCCCATGAAACACAACTCCAATAAGAGCAATAAGAACCCATGTCATCAGATGGCCAAGAGTTGTCTCCCCAGCACATATACTTATCATTTAACGTATAGCTCTTTCCCAAGTTAGGCCCCCACAGCCACAGCCTATACCTCCATATTCACCTTGGTCTATGGCTGCACATGCATCAAAGAGCATTGGCACTGGTTTATCAGGGTTAAACACCTGGGTGCAGCTGACAAGGTTCCCAGGATTGCAGATGCTCTGGATCTCTAACCATTGCTCCTGGGGGTGGTAAGCGGGGTTGAAGCAGATATGCTGATTTCTCTGGGAGCACATTTGATAGGTGGTGTGATTGTGAGAGCATGACCCAATAACAGTCAGTGCCTGCACAAGAATGCTAAGTATGGAAAAGTGAAGTCCTAGTGACAACACTTCCTGCCTGTGTAGTATGCATACATAGGTCACAGGATGAGGGCTCTGGGACCACGAAGGGAGACCATGTCAGTAACAAACAGTAATCATCCATTCTGCCCAAAAAAAGATAGAAGAGAGCTAATAAAAGCCTTTCACCGTGAATCCAATCAGCAGGGGCAGTTTCTGCCAAACCTATGGCAAAGATTAGGGTAAGAACTACAACAACAGATACAGACAAGGAGTGACAATACATTACAGTGAAATAACCGGTGTGGAAAACAGTCCATTTGTCCTGTTGGAGAGTTGGTTCCTCAAGCTTCAGCCATGAGTAGATTAGTCAGCTTCCAGGAGTGACTACAGCAGGGCTACTGTCCTGCTATTCACGGTCCCCTGTTGTTTGTTTGGGAAGTGGAGTCCTGCGGAGGGTGATCTTACATGGTGAAGCTGGATTAGGGATGCATTCTCAGTTGAGAGAAGCTGGCTTGACTTGACTGTGGTGGATCCAAGGAGCAATCTTTGTTACTTTAACTGTGGTGGGGATAGACAAGACAACAACAAAATGGCCCCTCTAATGGGATTTTAATGGTTGGACATTTTATTCTTTTACCCAGACAGTATCTTTTGGTTTTTTTTTTTAACTGAGTAGAATTACCATGGCAATGATATATGATCAGTATATATGTCCAAGAAAACTCATTGTTTTAAAAACTAAAACTATCATCTTTAAGTATCAAAGAACATGTTCAGAGCCAGTAAAAAGAGTCATTTTGTCTCTAAGTAGAAGACCTTTCTAAAAATATGAGTTTGTATCTGGAAGGGCTTTAATGCCATATGGCCACAAGTGTAGAAGAACCACTTCCTCAATCCTCTCAGGCTTGGTTATTTTTGAGAGGTCTGGCATGAGTGGACTCCATTTAAACTTTGATGGCATTCCCTCCTTGACTTCAAATTGTTTGTCCCTGAGTAGTCTCTTTTGAAGATTTGTCTCCCATCCAAGTACTAATCAAGCCCCACCCTGCTTAGCTTTTGAGACCAGATGAGATTGGGCACATTTAGGGTGGTATGGCTGTAGACTGAAGATCTTTCTTGATTGCTCATTTTCTTTCTTCATTGTGAGGATTTGTTCTTTCCTGGATTTTGTTTGTCTGTTTGGTTTTGGTCCCATGTTGAGGGTGGGGTGGGGTATAATGAGCAGATCAGGTGGGAGTCAGTGCCGAATAGATCCTTTTGGTCAAATTTAAGCAACAAACAGGCTTAGGAGTGGCCCTTAGACAATGGATTTTTAGACAAGGAAAATACAAAATAAAATCCAAGAAAAAGATGTCTAAAAAGCTAACCTGGTTGACACATAAGCACTTATTAGAGACATTTTTCATGAACTTGATTGTAAATGCCCCAGAAGGATCAGAACTGTAATGACAAAAACTTAAAAGAGCCATGGTTAAAATTTTGATGGACAATTTAGCAACTAACAGAACAGTATATCAGTATCACTAATTTTTGTTACTGTGTTTATCTAAATTTTGTATTTTAGAAGGCTTGATATACTTGAAAAACATAAATATATTTAGTATAAGGAACCAGCAGTAGCATCATAGCTCTATAGAGGTTATATATACATATTAGTTTAATTGTTGTTCTTGAAGTAAAACCTTAGATTTTTATCAGTTGTAGGGGGAAGAATAGTTTTAGTAAACTCAAATAGTGCAGTCACAGACTTTTTTTAAAGACAGGGTCTCCTTGTGTAGGCCAGGGTGGCCTTGAACTTGTGATACTCTTGCCTCTGCCTCTTGAGTGATAAGATCATAGAAGCTCACTACCACACTTCGCACAAATCTCAAGACTTTTGTGAAAATTATTAAACAGAGAAAAATCTCTCTTTCAGATGGATCTGGAATTTTAAGGCTAGTGAGTGAAGACCCTTTGCCATGTTGGGGAAAGAACCTGTGTGGAGGGAGCAGAGCTCTTAAAACCAGAAAAGAAACTGGGCTCAAAACTATTTTTTTTTGTAGTGAGGAGAAGTGCATCTAAAACCAAAATCCTCAAGGCTGTATTTCCATAGAGTTAGAAAATAGCCAAAAAGAGCCTTGTGAGATTATGAAACACAAACACGTAGTTTGAAATACAAACTACGCTGGGTGGATTTTACAAAATTGCAATCAGGAGGGTAAGCTGTTGTTAGAACAAATGTTGGGTTTTTTTTGACAGTACTGGGGTTTGAACTCAGGGCTTCACACTTGCTAGGCAGGTGCTCTACCACTTGAGCCACTCCACCAGCTTGTTATAACAAATGTTTGCTTCCAAACATTTATTTATGTAATATCAAGTTCAAGCTCTTTTACTTTATAAAACGTTGTTGACTTTTCCAAGTGTCATTTAAGAAACAGAAGAAAGAAACTGGGCTTTTGTAATACTGTCTGAGACCTTGCATCAAAGTATAGCCAAGGCAATATGTACCCTTGGATTTTTAAATTACACATGTCATATAAATGTAGCCTTTGGTGCCTATGGTGGATAAGGAAGAAAGTGAAGGTAATGAAACCAGAGGTGGGGGTGGGGGTGTCAGTGGGCAGGTGTGAAGATGAGGAATCGAGTCTCTGGGCTGCCTGAATAAAGCAGCTAGGTGGATACCAAAAGGATGAGATGGTAGATTTGTGACTTTGGAAGTAGCATGGCTTCCAGTGGTGACAATTAAAGGATGTGAGTCTGGAAATTGCACATCTCAGGTGGTACGGATGACAAAGGTCTATGAAGATGAAGTCATGGGACAGAGAGACCAGCAAGCTTTATTTTTCATACAAATGCACCTTAGTGCAGGAGAGTGGCTTTATGTGGGAGTTTACATCAGCAAGAACAATGATGAGGGGTCAGTCTGGATCTCTTCAAGTTTGGGCCTTCCAAGGTACATCTTTCAGCATAAACTAGGGGAATAGAACACTCAATGTCCATAAATGCGACTTGTCTTACTTTAGACAAATACTGTGAACTAAATGTTCTCAATTCCAGGCACCTGGAGTGTAGTTAAAAGTAGAGTCATACATAAATTTTAATGGTCCTTCAGCCTGGAGATGGGATTGACAACCTCCTTTAAAGACAGAGAAGTCTTAGAAGAGCCTGGAGGCAGGCGAAGGGAGCATCCTTGGGCAGGGTCTAGATTCTCTTCAGGATGTAGTTTGGGATTCATGACAACACAGAGACGAAGGGCCTTCCAGATTCCAAAGTTGTACTCAGTGACGCATAACTTACAACATGGGAAAAATACCAGTCATGTGTAACTAAATGCCTCTCTCAACCATTCCAAGTTCCCGAAATACATGGGGTTAGCCTGATGAGTAAACGTGTAAATTTATATTTGGTAAGTTAGACTTTAGTGTCTGTCTTCCAAAGGTAAGGATTTATTTTTAGAGCAGTTGACTTTAAAGAGCATTTCTTATCTGAAAATAGGGAGCAGATCAGCTATAGAAGGACATTAATAGTGATTCATGTTTAAGATGAAATCTTTTTTAGCATGTGTGGTTAGGGGCCTGAATCTATTCATCTAAGAACTGTACCATGTCATTAGGTGCAAATTAAAAAAGAGAGGGACAAGAAGGTAATTTGTCTTTACTCCACTAGAAATTGCTATCTGATTTATCAGAAGACCATTTCTACCGATGATTCACAAATGAAGAAATACATTGACCATTCAGCACAGAAAAAATGTCCAATCACACTAGTAATCAAAGAGATGTAAATTTAAATCAATGGTTTGCAATTTTTACCTGTCAAATTGACAGTTTTGTTGAGTCTGACTAACTTAATGATTGATCACACTAGTTTTTCCTTATCTTACTTTTTCCATCACTGGAAATTAAATGACTCAAAGGTTAAGACATAAATCAAAATCATTAAAGAAAGCATTTCTACTGTGAATGTTGAAGAAAATTTTACTCTAGTCCCAAACCTAAATCACTTAGAAAAGTTTGCTTTATAAAGATGGTCAAAAATCAATATGATTGAGGGATTGGGAAGACAAAGAATTGACTCTTTTCCATTTCTAAGCCTCCTGAGGTGTGAGTTATTTCTAATTGGAAGCTCCCAAGGAGTGTTTGGGATCTATTTACCCTATCACAGTTAAATTCTTGGGTTCTGATTATTCTTTAAGAAATGACTTAGGAACTGGAGGTGTGGCTCAAGCAGTAGAGTGTCTGCTTTGCAAGCATGAAGCCCTGAATTCAAACCCAGTCCCACCAAAAAAAAAAAAAATACCATAAATAAAAGACACCAAAGATAGAATTTAAGAAATGACTTATTTTTAGAACATGCATTTCACCACTTCAGTGGCCTCTTTATGTCTTGCTTTGCACCTCCAGTTTTCCCAGGACCCACAAGGATCTCAGCTGCTCCTGAGCCACTGGAGACTCCTACAGCTGTGTGCACCCATATAGATGCAAGGTGCAAATGCATCTTCTGCCACCCCCTGGCCTGTGTCAAGTGTGCCAGGGCCATGTATGCAAAGGGACATCGGAAAAGTGCAGCTGCTGTGTCTGATTTTGAAAGAGCCCTGCTCCCAGATGTAAATACAGTGAAGCATATGAACTTGGAGTTTTTTTTTTAACAAGCCTGACCATCTACTTTTTTCAATGAAATATATGAAATATCATAAAATCATTGACTTAAAATGATTTAGCTTTTATTGCATGTTACAACAAGCAAAATTTCATTAAGAATGAGCAGTCTGCCCAGCACAATAATAATAAAAAACAAAAAAGACAAAAAAATGAGTAATCTGAACCAGCGATGGTGGTGTAATTCCAGCACTCAGGATTTCATACACCTGTAAACCCAACCTGGGTTACATGGTGAGACCCTGTTCAAAAATAAATAAAGCAGCACTCAGTCATTCTGAATGTAGCCTTAATTCCTCAATGATGCATTTATGGAATTAGTGCAAAGGAGTGTACAGTTATTTTTATTAATAACACAGAAGTGCTGGGGGCTTACACCTGTAATCCTTGCTACTCAAGATGCACAGGTCAGGAAGATTGTGGTTCAAAGCCCTTCACAAAAAGGGCAGGTGAGTGGCTCAAGGTATAGACCCTGAGTTCAAGCTGCAGTACTGCAAACAAAACAAAACAAAAAAAACCACAGAGGCCATATTGTCATAGAGTCACTATTAGAGTCCTCCTTATAGTTGAATATATTTTTATCTATTTATTTTTATTTTATTCATATGTGCATACAATGTTTGGGTCATTTCTCCCCCTTTCCCCCACTCCCTCCCTTACCCCCCCGCCCCCTCCCTCTTCCCCCCTACCCCCTTGCTACCAGGCTGGAACTATTTTGCCCTTATCTCTAATTTTGTTGTAGAGAGAGTATAAGCCATAATAGGAAGGAACAAGGGTTTTTGCTAGTTGAGATAAGGATAGCTATACAGGGAGTTGACTCACATTGATTTCCTGTGCATGGGTGTTACCTTCTAGGTTAATTCTTTTTGATCTAGCCTTTTCTCTAGTTCCTGGTCCCCTTCTCCTATTGGCCTCAGTTGCTTTAAAGTATCTGCATTAGTTTCTCTGTGTTGAGGGCAACAAATGCTATCTAGTTTTTTAGGTGTCTTACCTATCCTGATACTTCCCTTGTGTGCTCTCGCTTTATTATGTGATCAAAGTCCAATCCCCTTGTTGTGTTTGCCCTTGATCTAATGTCCACATGTGAGGGACAACATATGATTTTTGGTCTTTTGGGCCAGGCTAACCTCACTCAGAATGATGTTCTCCAATTCCATCCATTTACCAGCGAATGATAACATTTCATTCTTCTTCATGGGTGCATAAAATTCCATTATGTATAAATACCACATTTTCTTGATCCATTAGTCAGTAGTGGGGCATTTTGGCTATTTCCATAACTTGGCTATTGTGAATAGTGCTGCAATAAACATGGGTGTGCAGGTGTCTCTGGAATAACCTGTGTCACATTCTTTTGGGTATATCCCCAAGAGTGGTATTGCTGGATCAAATGATAGATCAATGTTTAGCTTTTTAAGTAGCCTCCAAATTTTTTTCCAGAGTGGTTGTACTAGTCTACATTCCCACCAACAGTGTAAGAGGGTTCCTTTTTCCCCACATCCTTGCCAACACCTGTTAGTGGTGTTGCTAACGATGGCTATTCTAACAGGGGTGAGGCGGAATCTTAGTGGTTTTAATTTGCATTTCCTTTATTGCTAGAGATGGTGAGAATTTTTCATGTGTTTTTTGGCCATTTGAATTTCTTCTTTTGAGAAATTTCTGTTTAGTTCACTTGCCCATTTCTTTATTGGTTCATTAATTTTGGGAGAATTTAGGTTTTTTTATAGTTGAATATATTAAATTGTATTTCTGTAACATCTTAATGATATCCCAATGCAGAAGAAAAAAGGTAATTTGTTTTTCCAAACCACCTTCTTCAGATCTCTTTGAATAATGGTATCTGGTGTGCAATTCTTCGATGTCTTATGTGGTCATCTTTTCATCCTCCAAGGCATCCAAGGATAGTCGATAAGGAATACAGCATGGCCAGCTGCTATACTTTCCTTGACCACACCACACCACATGCATTGTATATACCCCTCCTCCCCTCTCATCTCCTCTTCTCTCCCCTCTCCTCCTCTCTCCTCTCTACCTCTCTCCTCCCCTCCTTTTCCTTCTACACAGGTACATACCCCCTCCTTCCTTCTCATCTCCCCTCCTCTCCCTTCCTCTCCTCTCCATATCACCACTATTAGCATTTATTTCTTTTCAACTGCACCCTCCAACTTCACAGTACAGTTTTTAAAGCTATGAGAACTTAAAGATAATGTAGTGTAATAAAAGCCCATAATTTTGATTTTAAGTTTTGCCAAAGTGTAACAAGATGTAATAAAAGTTTCCACAGAACCCCCTGCCTAACAAAGAACATATTCCAAATTAAGTATTCAATCCAAGATATAAAAGTGTCAAAGGGGACAACTTAAAGTGGCCATTCACCTAAACTTCTACCTATATAGAAAATATAAATAGTCATCTGTTTGGACAGTATAAAAAGTCACTGATAGAAAGAATATAAAAAGTCATGGGTTGCTGGTGATGAGGAGAAAGCTGGTAGTGTTCTGTGAGGTCTTTCTGTCCCTCACCTCAAGTTCAGGGAAAGAACCCAGCAGACTGCTCACCAAACTCTTTATGTGTCCCCTGAGACTCAGGGCATGTTAAACTTCACCTAAGAATTCTAATGTGACTGACTACTTGCATCGATGGAGGAGCAAAGGAGGGGTAGCTGGTGTGTTGGAACTAACCTGTACCTCTTGTTCGTTAGGACAAAGGTGACTGAGCATTTTATATGGACCAGAAAGAAGCCATGCATGTGAGAAAGCCAGTATGGAGCTGTCTTGAATTCCACCCAAGAGGACACTTTGCAGGTATAGACCGCTGGATGCCTGTAGAATGCAGGACTAGCAAAGAACCAACCAGAATATAGACACATGCACTATAGCAAGGGACTTGAAAGAGAACGCTCCCTAGCGTGTGGGATTTCTGCAACCTACCATAAAACCTACCAAGGTGCCTGTGAAATAAAAGTCTGTTTCAAACCCGTGGGCCCAGGACTAAAAAAACCCACTGACTACAAAATAACTTCCTCTTACTGAATTTCTTATGCCATACATAAATTGTTGTTAGTTAAGGTTTTATTCTGATAAACACCAGACTATAATAGAGATCCCAAAATGTTTCCCAAAAGGGAAACTGAGTGTCCATTGAACTACATTTGGCCTCAAAGTGTTTGAATATGAATAATGCTGTCTAAAATAATGAGGTGTGTGATTTAATTTTCATTTTGCTATTGCAACTTGAATACACATGGAGGCAGTACAGTTTAATGGACAGAGTCCAAGGTTGGCAGTTAGACTGACATTCATAGGCAGGATGTGTTGTTGACTAGATGTTGACACCACCACTACCACGATTATGGCTGCTTGTATAAGCTATTAAATCGATACTTTTGCTTCTCTCTATAGAAAAGGATTTTTGTGAATTGACAAAGAGTATTAATTTGATATTAGTAAATACTAAGAAGTCACTTCAGTGTGACAGACATATTTTTTGCCACATTGCTTACATCTCCACCAGGTTATCTAAGAGATAACTCAAATACAAAAAAAAAAGTCCAATGTAAAATTCATTAGTTTCCATTTCAGATCTACTCTTTTCCCCAGAGTCTCTAAGTGGAACACCTCATCTTTCATGCAGTTGCTTAGAGTTCAGGGCTTAGCCTTGGCTCCTCCCTCCACCATGACAGCCAATCAGAACTAAGCCTTGTTGATTCTGCTTCCTAAATGTGTTTGAACTCTGTCCCTTCCACTCCATTTGTAGTTCAGGCTCTCAGAATCTTTTTGCCTGGATTATTACAGTTTCTTCCTGACTGTTGTTTCTACCCCATGCTGTGCATCACACCATAAGTGACAGACGATTGTGACATCTCCAGGCTCCTTGCTCAGGATGCCTCCTGTGTCTCTATGACACATTCCTGGATGACCTTCCTGACCTTTTTACCATGTACACCTTGTGTACTTGAATTTTCTCTTTTTTCTTCAAATGTATTCTACTTACTTGGTTCTTATTTAATTTGGTGCTAGAGATGAACCCAGGGCCTTGGGCATACTAAGCACAGGCTGTTCCACCACACTGAACTCCCAGCCCCATTTTCTCTTGTTTTTGCTTAATGTTCTTTCTGTCTCATTGATTACCAGATTCTTACCTACCTTTATGAAAAGTGTTTTCCACCCTTGGTCCTTCCTATTATTGCTATACTCTCTCTTCAACAAAATTAGAGATAAGGGCAAAATAGTTTCTGCGGGGTATCGAGGGGTGGGGGGGAGGGGGGAGGTGGGGAGGGGTAAGGGGAAGGGGGTAGAAATGACCCAAACATTGTATGCACATATGAATAAAAAAAAAGTGTTTTCAATGCTGGGAATCCAAACCAGGCCCTTGCCTATACTGGGCAAAATTTCCACACTAAGTTACACTCCCAGCCTCCCAGCCCCTAAATTCCCCTTTTTTTTTATGGTGATACTGGGGTGTTTACTTGGCTGGTGCTGTACTACTTGAGTCTTTTTTGCTTTAATTATTTTTCAAATAAAGTCTTGACTTTTTGTCTAGGCTGGCCTGCACAGTGATCCTTCTATCAAACTCATTCCTAATCATTTCATCCTCTGTACTACCTCTTGCATCTTTGCAACAAGAGCTTCTTTCTTTCTGCTTCCCTATGTACATCTACGATTATGAGCTCAGATTCTACAGTCAGCCAATCTGGGTTTGAATTTATCACTTTAATAATTATGCAACATCAGATGATTTTTATGACCTCTCTAAGCCTCTGTTTCTATAAAATGCATACAATACTGGGCACATGGTAAGTCCTTAATAATAATACTGACAAATATTTTAATTTTGCATTGTTTTACTTCACTTTCATTGGTGGTTTATTTCTGGTTTCTTCTGCTGTCTATGAGCATCTGAGGCCAGAACTTCCTCAACTAGTTATACGTTAATTAATTAAGCACTT